TTTAATAATCTTCCACCAACAATTAAAAGTCTAAATTATGATATAAAGGTATTCAAGCCTGCATTGAAAGATTACCTCTTTACTCACTCCTTCTATTCTGTAGATGATTTCATCTCTGCTGAAAATGTTTAAGCTTTATATCCATAATCTACGTGTATGTAAAGCAAGTTTTGTATTTATATTTAAAATTCTCAGGTGTATGTATATTAATTTGTAAAATTATTTTTCATACTTGTATTGCAGAATCTGAAATTTATGTACATTGATATGTGAAATACGTTCTTGTACTTGTGTTGAAAGTTCTGAAGTGTATGTATATTGTATGAAATGACATGTTGTACATCCTTTGGTTGAGTCCTAAGAAGGATCAATGGAATGTAAATAAACTCTACTCTACTCTACTGTGAGATCCTGCACACTGCTTCCCTTATATTTTGAGCATTATTATTTATAATATTAAACTGTGGTTTTATTTTGTCAGAAACTAACAACATGTCACAAAATTAATAACTGATTATGTGTAATTCTGTTATTTCACAGAATACCCACGTATTTAAAAAATATGCAATCCGTGTTCCTCTCAGAGAGTGAGAGACCATGTTTTGCAGCCACACAATAAAACAGGAAAAATTATTGTTTTATAAATTTTTATTTCAGATTCTTATAAATCAGACGGGAAGACAATATATTTTGAACCGAGAAGAAGCAAGCATTTCTGGAATTTAGTCTCCTCCTAATTTCCTCATGAATATCATTTTGATATGTTATTGTTATTCCCAAATATTTAAACTTTGTCACACTTCCGAGTTTGAAATCCTTAAAATGAACATCACTTACACTGGCATGTGTATCATATAGTGCTCAGGATGAAGACTCTTGCTCTCGCAAGTGGCGCAAAGATCAAAGTCAGGGCACTGAATGCACCTGTAGCGAAACCCTTGCACTGCCCTCTCACACGCATCACATGTCACACCAACATGCTGCTGCAGACCTGAGACAGAATTATCACACTTTGCTCCTTAAGCTGAATGTGATAACAAAAAGTACACAAAATTCCTACTTTTATCATTAGCCAAACTGCAGCAATGAAGAGAGAAAGCACACGTTTTCAACAAAGTTTAAACACAAACAGCACAACTCAAGCAGACTGAATGGTTTTTCAAGACTTCTCAATTCAACTTGCTGGAACATTTTCATTTGCAATACAATAAATAAGATATTCTGATTATTGCATAACAACAAAAGGTAGTGCTGTCTAAAAGCCTGCAAAACAGCATCACATTTAAAAACTGATCCTTGTGGCACTCCATTTTCTTCAGGATAACTTGCAGATAAGACATTCACAAGGACACAGAAATAACAGGCGCCTGCATGAAGTTGAAAAGAAACAGTGGCACTCAATCCCAAAGACTTCACCAGTGAAGGGTTCTGAGGACACCATAATTCAAAGTTGTGCCTTATGCCCTCTCCAGGTCAAAGAGAGCAACAATGTGCTGGCATAGAATAAAGTGGCTGAAAGGATGAATAATTGATATGCTTAAACTCTACCGATTTTAAACAAAATCAGACCCAAGACTCAAAAGAGAAAAAAAGTCCTTTCTGGGAGAAAAGCTCATTTTACACATTTTCCATACACGGCCGGAAGAAATCAGCAATGCCAAGTATTTTGCTCCCTATAATAAAGTTCTTGCAAAAGGTTTTGCTTATTCTATAAAGACAAAGTAAAGTGAAATGGAAAATTTCTAATTCCTCCTCACCGACCAATTGTCCAATGATTCTCAGATACTGAATATGGGCATCTTCTTGCTGTTCTTGTGATTTCTGCTGCTTGCTACTGGAAGGGCCAGCGGAGTTATCATTAACGTGGGGTGGTTCTTCTTCGCCTGAAAGATTTGTCCACACGATGTACAAAGCAAGGGCTTCCAACCACTCTGGTTCTCCACCACGAGGTCTCCATGGACAATGGCCTGCCTCAGGCTCCCACCCACACCTCACAGAAGAGAAGCAATTATTCACTCAACTAGTCAACAGATATTGTTCATTGTGACTTTTCTCTTGTCTCCTAACTTTAACATTTACAGTGTAAACAGTTTGTTTGAATGCTTATTTTTATATCCAGAAAATTAGTTTGTGAGGTCTTCCATCCACATGCACAAATAGGTCAAATAACAAGTCTACTTTGAAGGCCATTAAACTTCGATCACCGTAAGTGCAGTATCCTAATTTCTACATTAGTCTCGACACTTGATAATACAAAGTTGATCCTTCACATGTTAAATCACATAATGCACTAATACACACTGACCTTCGGCAGATCCAGCTCCTGGTTTTAAATATAGTTTGCGCACTTCAGTCTGTGATTCAGTTAATGCCAGCATCAATTCTTCGTCGCTGGACATTGTAATTTTATCACCTTCGGCATCTGTGGACAAAGAAATAAAATGAACTTAAAAAGCATGGGCTAAACACTAACATCAGCAAGTACATATTTGATCAGTGATGTAATATAGCATCATAAAAATGGAAAAATCCTGTCAATGAACAAGAAACCAAAATTTCCCTGTGTTCTACACACCAATTCTTCTCCAATATGAGCACGAGGTTAAACAGATAGTAAAACAAAGATATTAAAGGATAAGATGAAAAATGTTAATTTCTGAAGTGTAAATTAAACCCCATGAAAAATGAATAAGGAACAGAGTTACATCATTCCCCATATTTACTGTTAATTCATGAGGAAAAATGGCTAAGAAAATTTGTAGCTCCGTGTTCCATCAAATTTCAATGCCGGTTACCTTTCCACGCAACGATAAAGTTGCATCCGTGAAGGGATGGGAAAATAGATTGTAGTTTCTCCCTTAGCATGGCGAAGTTTAATGCAGAAGTGAGTTTGAAATTAAAACGACGTATTTAACGTTCATTTCCCTCTTCAAAGTAAACTTTAAAACAAACTTTCATCTCTTCATCCATGACACCTGAAAATTAGAATTATTAATATTCAGTTCATGTTATCTTTAATGCATTTACTTAAATGACATCAAATACATATAACGTATTCACCGAGTCATGAGGAGCTGTTGTTGAGAAATACGTACCGCTGTACTCCTAGACAATGGTGGAGAGGGCTGTCAGTTGGAATGCGTGTCCAGCACATATAAGCTCGAAATCAGGATGGCCAACTATTATAAAATTTATTTGTATACCTGTTTCTGTGGATAAAGGCTAAAAATCCTGGGATGCTTGTGTCCGTCAATTTAAATATCCACACACAGGTTTGGTCATCCGTAAAGGAATATGTTAATGTTGGTGTTCCTGGTGCCTAACAATGCTACCAACGTTGGTATTTGCGCTACCAATATTGCTAGTCTATAATTGACCTGAAGAGGTTTACTGATCTTGCATCAGAACGTTTGGATAGAAATTGATATGTTCTTCGAACGTATTAAGTACAATGTTAAGTAAAATACACATCGATTGTGAGTTGACTGTGTGAGAGTAATATAATGAAATTCTGTTACATGAAATGGACATCATTAAGGAGTGAGTTGCTGTACGCATTTAGAGAAGGAAGTAAAATTAAAAAAGGGGTTTTTTAAAAAAATTCTCCATACCCGATCCGTCTACTAATGATTGGTACGGTTAAGTGCATATGGAATATAAGGACAGAGTAATACCACAACTACTTTTGGGGTATGCTATTGTTCCATATATTATTTATAAGTTTGAGAATCGGGAAGTACGTAATTTTCCAGCATATTTCAAGAGACCTATAATCAATCCATCTGCTCCAGGAGCTTTACGAGTTTTTATTCTTTTCAGGACTGAAGTTAACCGTTAAGGAAATTAAAGCCTCGTCCCACATCCCGGAAAGTGTTCCGAATGTCACGGAAATCGTTTACTTTTCTGAAACGTTATTTTTTTCATCAGCTCAGTTGAACATAATTGCCCAGCACAAAGTCAAATTAATTTCACATGTCAGCACCTCTAAGAACATAATGCATGTTGTTCCTTGCCTTTCCTAACAGGCAATTTGCGAAAACACTGAGACAGGGCCAATGTTTCGGAGTACATGAAGAACGCCGCTGAGCTCTGAAATCAACACTGACGATAACCTGCTGCACATATGTGCGGGCTAACCTAAACTCATTAATTTCTTTCATGCTTAACATTTTGACACAGCCTACATGACGAGGAAACAATTGTTGAGTGTCAGTCAGTCACGTTTTGTTACGGTGTAGCAATCATGCTGGCCATGCCTACATGGTGTACAGTGGGGCAGCTTTACTTTTACAGAAATATTATTTTATACACTTAGTGGCGCGCTGAAAGATTTGCGACAAGGACTTCTCAGTTTCCCACACAGGAGAGAACGACGATGCGGCTGTATTGCCAAAAAAAAGGAATTATTATTAACTGCAAATGGGTTTTTACCCGGTGGCAGTGGTTATGGAGAATGTTTAATGGGAAAAGCCAATATATAAAAATATGAACACCACAATTCAACTGGGCGTGAGGTCTCTTTGTACGGGCACTACTGTTATTCTGTGATTGTGAGGCCTTTCATAAAGGCACAGACTCAACAAGAAATTTCAGATGTAAATTGTAAGTTGCACAGAGTAGATGAGAGTGTGAACGAAAAGCCTGACGCGCACATGGAGAAGGGGCTAGATGTTGCCAAAGTAGAAAGCAGAATTAATACTAATATCACTTCTAAGTTAGACGAGTATAGAACTGAAGTGGAGCTGTCAGAAAGGAAGTGTTAAGTTTAAGGCACAACATTTCTAAATGGGAAAGTACTGCTAATATGGAAGAAATTACTATTTGCTCAGATGGCATACAAGAACAGGTAACAGTAGCAACTAGACAAGCAGAGCCTGTTAGTGGGTAACAGTCAAACGCCACTGACAAA